ATGAATATCTGATGATAACCCCGGAAAGCATCCATGAAGCTCAGTAATTCACATCCGGCAGTTTCATCCACTAGCAGATCGATCCTCGGCACTGGATAGGGATCCATGGGGCACGCTTTATTCAGGTCAGAGTAATCCACGCACATTCTCCAAGTAGATTGTTTTGGGGCTAGAACCACATTGGATAGCCATTCTACGTGGATTACCGGACGGATGTGCTTTATTCTCAACAAGGTGGCCACCTCCTTCTTTGTGAATTCCCGCCGTTCGGTTGCTTGATACCGTTTCTTCTGTTGGACTGGTTTTGCATCAGACCGAACGGAAAGTTTGTGACATATTATCTCCGGATCAATGTCGGGCATATCTTCTGGCCCCCGGACAAACAGCACCTGAAACTTTTTGAGGACGGCGATCACGCCATCCCGGATATCAGCCTCCAGATCTACCCCGATAGCCACCTTACGGTTCGGGGGGAAGTCGAGGTCGATTTGTTCAAGAAGGGTGGCGGGCTCTAGGTGTGCCTCGAACTCCGTTCAGTGTGTTTCCACCTCAATTGTATTAACCCGCATCCCACGAATGTTCATCTGTTTTAGGGCCTCCCGATAACACGTCCGGGCTGTCGTTGGATCAGTTCTGGCCACCCCTACCCCAGTGTCTGTAGGGCATTTGATGCATGAGTGGCGGACAGAGGCTATTGCCTCCAGATCTTCCAATCCCGGTCGGCCCAATATGGCATTTTGGGCACACTTTATATCTACCACCACGAACGTCATTTGGAGTGACGCTTTGTGGGTTTCATCCCCAATTTCAACCATTAATTGGATGGTCCCCTCCGCCTCGATGCAGTTACCGGTGAAACTTGCCAGTGGGGTCCGTAGGTGGGTCAGTTGGCTCCTTTGTAGACCCATTTTCTCGAATGATTGTAGATACAATACATTCACACTGCTCCCGGTATCGACCAGTACTCGGCGGATCAAAGCATTGTCAATACACATGCTTACCACCAGTTCATCCCTGTGTGGGCTTGGAGAGTTGGGTAAATCAGCTGGCCCAAACGTGATCGGGTCTGTCCTTCCTTTCTTCTGGGGGGGAGTGGAGACGGATCCCACATAAAGACTCCGCTCGAACCTTTTCCGTTCGGCGTTCGAATCTCCGGTCTCCCCGCCCCCAAATATAACCTTGACCTCCATTCGGGGCTTCTTTCCAGGGCTTCCCGAGCCCTCTGGCTCATCCCTGGGAGGAACATACACATCATTTTGAGGTTGGGCGTCACGTTGAGCATCCCAGCGCCAGCTATTAGGTTTCCTGGCCGGTTTCAGCGTGCCCATAGCATTCGGATCTTTATTCACATATTTGCCCAGATGGCCCCTTCGGATCAGATCCTCAATGGCTGTTTGTAGGGCCCTGCAGGCATTGGTGGCATGACCCTTTCTGTTGTGATATTTACAGAAAGCATTGTCATCTGTTCCCATGAACTGTCCAGAATCAGTCGGGATGGGAATATTGTCCCTCTCGTGCTGATAGATGATCGCTATTGATAGGACCAATGGTGTAAATCTCCCTTGTTTGGGAGGTAAAGCGGCCACTGGGCTAGGACCCAGTCGATCGGCCATTCTGATCGGGGCAGCCGGTGTAATGACCTTATCCCTGATCATTATCTCCTCCTCCAGGGCAGCATGCTTGCGAGCCCTATCTAATACCTCGGCGTACACCGTACCCGGATTTTTCTTTAACTCTTTGTACAACTCCCCCGTTCGGAGAGCATTTTTGAATAGGGTAATGGCGGTATCATCCGTCATGTTTCCCACCGTTAAAGTTTCATCCCTCCACCTTTTCAGGAATTGATTGAGGGTCTCTTTGGCGTTTTGCTTCACGCTGGTCAAATAGCTGAAGTGCCGTTTGGGATTGGCACTGGAAGCAAACTGAGCCAAGAATAACGCTGATAACTCGGCAAAGCTGTTGATTGACCCGGGCTGTAGTGTCCCGAACCACTCCTGGGCAGGCCCCCTAAGCGTGCTGAAAAACAATCGGCAAATGGCGGCCTCGGGTGCTCCTAGCAGCATAAGTCCCTCTTGGTAACTCCTCAAATGTACGTGGGGATCTCCCACCCCGTCATAAATTTGGCCGGTCGGGGGCTTGGCACCCCCTTGGATATCTGCGTACATGAGTTCCCTAGTAAACGGGGAAGTAATTCCCAGCTGAACTGGGGCAGGTTGTACAGGTACCCTGTTCATTTGGTCCCGCATTTCATTCATTTGCCTCCTCATCTCGGCCATTTCTTCCTCCTGGGCCGTCAAAGGGGGCGGTGGTGGAGCCCTCATATCCGTACAGTCCCGGTCCCAATGTCGCTGAGGGGCCCTAGTATTTTCCCGCTCGGCATACTGGAAATGATGACCAACGGGAGTTGGTCCTCTAGCTTGTGATCCGACCGGGGTTCGGTCACTGGGACTGTGGTGCGCTGTTGGTGGGGCGCTACGTCGGTTGTCCCGATGGACATGTGAACGGAATGACGCCGCGGTTGTTTCCGTGCGTGGGGTCTCCCCTGTAAAGCTGGAACTTCCTTCCTCTTCGTTCGCCATATGCTGCATGACCTGGGCCATGTCCCGCATGGCCTGAGGATTTCTTCTCAGAGATTCAGGAATCACAAAATCCCCATCGAAACGAGGATTCGGTCCTCGACTGGATTGTCCCTGAGGGTTTTGACTCCCCGGGGTGTGACTCCTCCCGTGACGGCATGAACCGTCGTTTGTATGATAGGAACTGATTCTGACCATTTTTGAAAAATAGAAATTTTTTGGATGATTTGAAAGTGAAACTTTTTTGTAAGTTTTCCCACAGACGGCGTCAATGTTGAGGGTAAGTCCCGTAGACCCGAAAGCCCAACACGGACTTTGGATATATCAGGAATGGCCCAGAATCAAAGCGTGTAAAAAATATAAGATCTGAACTAACTAAAACTCGAAAGCTCACTTGTATTAATTAACCAATCTGATTACAAGGAATTTCCCGATCGGTATGTCGGAAACTATGCTTTAATACAAGAAATAAGAGCAAATGATGCTATTCTAGAGCTTGAGTATTGAAATGCTAACCCTTACAATGACTTGAAACCTTCTATTTATACTAATGGAGAGCATGGGCCGCCTCTTGCTGATTGGCCGTTGTTCCACCGACTTGGTCATCCATGCTTCCACTTGCTGATGTCATAGTCTGGCATTAATTGCACCTGGCCACTTGCTGGTTGGCCGTTGCTCGAACGGGATGTTGGGCTGTACTGAAGATGCTGTCAAATTGGCCCAAGTATGATATAGCCCGAACCTCGTTCGGTATGTCTTCTTACTGGGCCAACCTTTATTTGGGCCGAACTCCGTTCAGTATGTCTTCTTACTGGATCTATTCATCATAGAGTGACGGGCCCGTTGCTTGAGCCGGGTATCTTGGGCCTTCTCGATCTGGGTATTGGGCCTCTAGGTCAATATCCCAACAATATATATATATATATATATATATATATATATATATATATATATAAACACACTTAGATATCTTAGGGACACATGAATATATATACATACTTGGGCTATAAAATTGTTGGAGTATAAAAAATTCAAATGCATTATTTTCGAACGGTTCGGTCCGGTATTTTTTGGTTCTCAAAATCTAGGATCGGTCCCGTACCCGTTTCAAACGGTACGGTTTTGGTACGGGATAAAAATCTATAAAACCATTTATATACCCGGTATTCGGTTCGGTACCATTACGAGACGGTTCGGTACCGGTTCGGTTCGGGTTTTATGCCCACCCCTACTAATAGCTATGCGAGGCGTTTCATTCGTGCCTCACGCCTAGGCTTGCTTTTGCCGTGTCTTTTGAAATATGGCGGACCCACATATTTCTTTTAAAAAGGGAAATCAGATACTTGTTTTGAGATAATCTTAAAATTCTTTCAAAAAGGGAAATGAAACACTAGTTTTGAGATAATCTGAAAAAGGAAAGTAAAACAAGTAAAATGAGATGAAAAGATTAATAATTATAAAATAAGTTAATAATAATAACAACATAATAATAATACTCCGTAATACTAAGTATATATTATCCATAATTTATATTCATATATTCAATGTTCATTGTCTTGAAAATAGAAATTAAATGATCAATAATTACTACCCTATTTGTACACTCAAATTGTGCTAAACTTTGCTCTCTGAAACTATTGCATATAAATAAATAACAATAATGATTTGAGTCACCGTGATTTACAACCTCATGCATACTTTGTTGGGTTGGGGCGTGAAGGGCCTTGGGGTTTGCCGGGTTGGGGAGCCAACCTTTTTGCACAAATAAGGTCGGGTGTGGTGTATGATTTGTGGTGGATTAACGTTCAGCTGCAATGCGCTATTAGTTTTAAACCATCGATCATGTGATGAAGGTGTAATTACTTATGAAAAAGACACTAATGGATGTATTCGTTGTAAATTAAAAGATGTTCCAATAACTTGTGATTTTATATTTTATAGATATTCCACCGCAAACCTACTGGCAAATAAAAGCATTGAGTTACACATTTCAAGCAAAACCAAATATATACACGTAGTACTCCGTATGTAAAAAGAAAATTTTCCATGTCTCTTTCCTTAACACTCAGTTTTCACCACTTTATTCTTTCCCGACTCACGCTCTCCAACGGGGGTTTTTGAGTACGATAACAATTACGGATATGATACCAGCCACATATAGATGACGTTTGTCAACACCGTTTTTCAGCTTATCAATCAACTTTTTCACCAAACATGTAACTTTTATTTTCGCGGACTGAATTGTGTAATAAGCGGAAAAAGTAAGGTTGAAATTACTTTTCTGCTGTATGGACTAAAGTTACTGTAGATGACCATTTTTGAACTGTATATTTTGTAGATGACCCTAATGGGCTCACATTTTTCTTTATTTTATTAATAAAATATATTTAAAAAAAAAAATCTTAAATCACTAGAATCAGCCAATGTAGCTACTTCAGCCAGAACTTCATAAATTTAAGCAGAATCAACCAAAACAACCGATTTTGATACTACCAAACGGGCTCACAGTTCTTACAAAATTGTTAAAATGGCACATACAAGTATACAGCTAATGGATTAAAACTGAGAAGTACTTGGTAACCTACAGGCTACAACCTAACAACTTTGTTTACAAAACATAATTGAGTCTCGTTTGGTACTCCGGCCTATTAGATTAGAATATGTGAGGTTAGGCTAATGAAGTAGCTTAGCATAAATGATCAAAAGAAAGGACAAGTGATGTTATTTGGACTAACTAATTTATTATGCTTCAAAGTCTCAACAAAAGCAAGACACTCCTTGCACGCTTTGACATCAGCCATATTGTTTAACATTGGTGGGAAGAAAAGCCAAAAACTTGTAACCATCACAAAGGACAATGTCAATGGCCCAGACACGAGAGCAGGCAGCCTAAATTTCCCAACCAACGCTTTCTTCATCCAATTTTCCAAACCCAAACACACCCCATGCAAGAGGAAGAAGCACAACACTTGTCCACTAGGCTTCGCCCTTCCAATGCTGTAGAAGACGAGCTCGTGCATGATTCCGGAAACCAAGAAAGCCCCCACAACTCCCGTGAATCGGGCCCACTGACCCGACACAAAGCGAGCCATGACAGCCATCACTGGGTCATACACCGTTGGCCGGAGAATATTGGTCACCATCAGGTTCCATCTCCGGCCCCAGAAGTCCTGGAGTGAGGTGGCGAGGTGGGGCTCGTCAAAAGGTGGTTCCAGCTCGATCCCCGAAACGGTTCTCACCGCAGATCCCACCAAGACCAGGGAGAGTTCCAGGATGAAGTAAATGTGGAGGGAATAAAAGAACAATCGCACATTGAAGTGAATGAATTCTTGATATTTGTACACATGGATCAAGATTACCAGAAGAATGAATTTTGCGAAATGATTGATCGAAAATTTGTGTGCTTTTTTAGAAATCAGGCCCTGCACGGCGGGAACCGATGATGACTCGGTAACGGGCGGTTCCGATCCACCAAAGCGCTTTGGTCGGGAATCAGTAAGGGCCCGGTCGTGAAGCTTGATAGGCAAACATGCCAAGGGGATGAAGGTTGAGAGGGGCAGGGATGGAGAGGCAACCAGAGGGCCAAGCCCGAAAGCGAAAAGGAGAATTTTAAAACTGGCTAACCAAGCAATCAAGAAGGAAGATGATCCACCAAGAAATACAGAGGTGAGATTGAGAGGAAGGACAAAGAAGAGACATACAATCGGAAGAATGGCAAAAACTCTTGCTAGATTTGGTTTGGGGAAGAGGTAGTTTCCTATGGTGTGGCAATAACATAGAGAAGCCACAACAATAGCCCATACCATAATGAAATTGTTGATTTCTCCTTCCATCGCTCAAGGATCACTCATCCGATAATGGCGGATCATAGAAACATTAATTAGCTGCACCATAGTGGAGATGCTTTATTTATAATTGGGTCTTCAATCAAGTCTCTGTGTATTTCCGGGTCAAACTAAAAGGTGTCCCCAAAATTAAATGCTAATACACATTTTAATGCCATCTCTATGCGCAAATTGCTCCGAATGTTTTTAAGGTGCACATTGTGAAAGAATCTCTTGCACCATATAAAAAGATAAATTCGCCCTATAATGTCAAAATACTCCGTATGTATTACAAGAAAATCAAATATATTTAATCAATGTATTAACTAAGAAAATGGCAAAAAAATCAAAAATCTGTTCAATTATTACGTAAAAGCTGTAATATTTTTTGCATTTGCATCAACTATATCTAAGTTTCTGTTAAATGTTTTTATGTGACAAACTAATACTTTCCGATAATTAAGAAAGGAAACAATTCAACATTTGAACATAAGTTTGACACATTATGTTGTGAGGCTTAAAAAAATGTGTTGCAATTTGAATTGATAACCATACCTAGGAGTAGGATAGATCCGGTTTGGGTGTGACTTTTGTTAAACCCGAAAATTTCGATATCGGGTTATAAAAATTACGATCTCGGGTTTTAAGGTAGTCCGAGTTAGTTAAAGCACTGATGATATATAAATCATCATCTTTTCTTTTTTAGTTTTTTAGTCCTACTCCCACCGGTTCCAAATAATCTTGACACTTTGACTTCACAGTTTTTAAGGAAATAAACAATGTTTGGCACTGTTTGGCACTGTTTGGCACTGTTCGGCACTGTTTGACACTGTTTGGCACTGTTTGGCACTGTTTTGTGTAGATTTATTTGCCAAATAAGGCAAATAAGGAAGTGTAAATTAAAGATCTTTCTGGTACTGCTAAAAATAGAAAGTGTAAAGATCTTTCAGAACCGGAGGGAGTATTTTTTAAATAATACTCGAAAATATAAATCAGAAATAATAGCATAAATATTAGTCTCCAAAATCACCAGTAATCCAAATCCAAACAAAACAATTATCTTAATATTACGTTTAACATTACCTTCATCCCAATTTGATTATCATGTTTCTTATTCACTTGATGTATTGTCGGTCAATATCATAAACCGTGATGTAGCCATCAAATTGAGAAAGAGGGAATTTTGTTTTTTTTTGGGTAAAAATGTGACAAAAGTCACTATTATACTACGTATATATTTAGGTGCTTGCTATGGTACCCAACAAAAATAGGAGGGTACCATACCTAGGATGCATTTCATTGGTGCAACTCAAAGTTTTACATTTTATTTGCATTTAAATTATTCAATTGAAAATTTTTGATTAGTCCATACCATCAAGATACCATACCTTCAAGGTACCATATAAATTGACATATATTTATATGGTCATCCCTCCCCGTGTGATAAGCAGGGGCTGATTGGATAGGATCTCTTGCATGAAAGGCTTTTCCTTCGATCATCATCCAAGACTTATATGATTATATGATACCATGTATGTGTCATTACAGTTATACTTGTACAAATTAAAGTAGTCACTAAAAGTGCTAAAATCCAACTAATTCCACGATCTTGAAATCAATAGAATTCTGGAAGACTCTTATAGATTGCGGAACTCCACAAATTTCACAATCTTTAAAAATCCATCAAATCATAGTCGGGAATACCACTTAAACTTCATAAAATTCACAATCTTAAGAAATTCATCAAAATCAAGAGAGTTCTAGAAGAGTCTCATATATACGGAGTACTTCATAGTCTCATATTACTCGGTATGTTTATTTTTAGTCATATATTAGCAATTATTTCTAGATAATATTACTACGTAGTATATAGTGAGGTTGTTTGCTAACAGGGCCGGTCCCGAGGAAATGAAGGCCCTGTGCAACAAAAATAATTGGGCCTTCTTTTCAAAGTTTCAACACAAGTTAAAAGAACCAAACCGAAACGGCACCGACTCAAACGGGACCCGAAAGTCGGGACTCGAACATAAATCAGTTTAATGAAGGTTTTTTGAGTTATAAAATTGGTTCAAACCAAACCGAACCGATTTTTATTAAGAGGTATGTTTAATTATTTATTTTGTAGAACAAATAGGTAATATAAAACTTGTACGTCCTTATTTCAACAATTAGTTGATTCAGTCTAGTGTGGTTGATGTTTAGAAATCAGCGTGCATGCTACCTGAGTTCGAATCCCGCATGCCTTGCTTCTTTTGTTTTTTGTTTCAAAAGCTTAAGATTCCCACACCGGTAGAAACAGAGGATTTACTACTCCTTCGTTCCTATATATACGATCCTCCTTTGCAGATGAGGAATACGCGAAGTGGCGAACCAGGTCTGCTTCAAAGCCTTGCCCTAGTCCATTTTTTTTGTAATTCATTTGATTTTATATCAAAACCGAACCGAAACCACCTCTAATTAAGTAATACTAGTATACTACTAAAAAAAATTAGGCCCTTCCAATTTTTTGGGCCCTGTGCGGTTGGACACCCTGCACACCGCTAGGGCCGGCCCTGTTTGCTAACACTGTTTTTCGACTTGTCAAGCTTATCAGCCAACTTTTTCATCAAACATGTAATTTTTGTTTTCGCGCGCTGAATTGTGTAATAATAAGAAAAAGTAAGGTTGGTGGTACTTTTCTGACTGTATTGGCTGAAGTTACTGTAGATGACCATATTAGCTATTTTTACATATAATTTTTCTTTATTTTATTAATAAAATGTATTTTAAAAATAATTTTTTCTTAAATCATCAGAATCAGGCAATGCAGCCACTTCAGCCAGAACTTCATAGAATTTCAACAGAATTAGCCGAATCAGCCGATTTTCGTGTTACCAAACGAGCTCAGTATATTGAGTTTATATTAAATTAATTGTACGTAGTATAGTTCTTGGACGGCCAATGAGTTCGACTTTCCGAGTTGAGTCCAAATATTACTTTTCAGACTGTATAAAGAGAAGAATATCAAACCCTTGCCAAGCCAAGGTCCATATATCAATCACGCTTTGTTCTATTTTTACCACAATTAGTTAATATGGAGTAATTCGGACTCCTACTGCTACCGAGCCGAGTCGAGCCCGAACACCCAAAGCTTGAGTTGGGCTCGATATGGAATTAGGGATGTTCAGATTTGATTATGTGGAGTATGGTTTATTTCAAATGACCCATCCATGTGAATTCTGCAAATAAATTTGCCAGCTTAATGGGATCATGCGTATTAAATAACTTTCACAGCAAGTTGCTATTGCATCTGTATAGCCATTAGCCACCCATGGCATTTGCTATTGCAGCTACTTTAAAGCTGTCATTTTTTGGAAAGAAGGGTAGGGAAGTGTAATAGTAAAATTTTATAGTGTTTGGAAAAAAATTATAAAGTAAAATCTGGTAGCATTTAGTAAAATAATTGTAGTTGTGTAATAGAAAAAGTGAAAAATAGTTTAAATTGTCCCATCTGCATTCAGTTTTTAGATTTTACAAGCTTATTTTAAGCAGAAATTAACACATGAAAATAGACATTTGATCTTGTTTTAAGTCAAATGCCGAAAAACATTTTTTTTTTATTTTTTTGCACAATTCCTAAATCAAAGTCTTTGAATTTAAGAAAGTATGGCCAAGCGTTGAAACCTAAAGGAGTTGACAAAAGAGAACCACCTAATAAACCATATACTCTCTCCGTCCCACAATGAATTTCACAGTTTGACCTACACACATATTAAGGAAATAAACTTACCATGAGGTAAATTTTACTGTTTTGACACTGTTTCAACACTGTTTGACACTATTTGGCAATGTTTCGACACTGTTTGACACTGTTTTGATGTAGATTAACTTGCCATTTAAGGAAAATGAAAACTTGTTTCTGGGACATTCAAAAAAGGAAAGTGGGAAGTTCATTGCGGGATGGAGGGAGTATTATAAATATGTTTAGATGTTAAAAGTACTAGTATAGTACCCGTGCGATGCACGGTGCATAAATTTATTCCTAAATTTATTAAATTTTCATTTGACATTAATAACGTGTGAAATATGTAAGTTACATTTGATACATAAAAGTAATACTCCCTCCGTCCCATAATTTACTTCCGTAGTACAAATGGCACACGGATTAAGAAAATGAGTTTTGTGTGGTGGAGAGTTATGCAGAGGAGAGAGAAATGTGTAAGAATTGTTGTAAACTACAAATTCTTTGTTAAAAAGGGAAATGAAAATTCTTTTTGGGACGGACGAAAAGGGAAAGTTGGAAGTATTTTCAGGGACAGAGGAAGTATGTAAAAAGAAGTTGTAATATATAAATGTTAGAGTGATGCAACCTACAAATAAGAGATTATGGAACATTTCGTTTTAGACACCGTTCATGATAGACAATGATTTTAACTCTTAAAAGGGCAGCATATAACACCCCCGACCGGTCCGGAAGGCTAGGACAGGGAGCGCTACTCGCAGTGCCGGAGCACCAAAGCGTTGACTGACTTTTACATTCATTTTCATTATTTCAAAAAAATACTTTTATTTTAAAAACGAGCGAGTGATAATAACTTTATGAAAAATCATAATTGCGGAAGCATTCAAATTTTATACATGACACTAAAAGGTGTAGTGTTGGTGATACATTATACTCCCTGATAGAGTATATAGACTCGGACCCCCGGGTCTCACTACTATTGGGTCTGGACAGCGGCCCACACACGCTTATCGAATGTCTTTTGTATTATTATATTGTTCATATATCATCTAGGAGTGGACTCGGTTCGGGCCGGGCCTGGTTCGGGCCTAGAACCGGCTGGGCCTCAGTTCAAGGAAGGCAGGCCCGGAACCGGCCCGGATAACCCCGGGTCCGGTTCGGTTCGGGTCACCCACCAGGTTCACGGGCCAGGCCGCCCACCGGGCCGAGCCTTTTAATTTTTTTATTATATATTATATTATTAGAATAATTCTTATTACAATTACAATATATAATATTCGAATTGAAGTATATTTATTTCAAATAAGATGTACAATTGAGAATTAGGATGAATTTAAAAAATGTAATACATTTTGTAATAAAAAATCAATCGGAATCTCCGTCTTCGGTTGTTTCCTCCATAAAGTGGCGGGTGGGAGTGATGGTAATTTCTTGAGTTCTTCGTTGGGCCTTCAACCAATCGTGAAAGCAAACTAGTGTAGTCTCAAGAGAGATCGGGCTCAACCTCGTTCTATAATCGGTTAGAACGTTGCCGGCCGCACTAAATTCTTGTTCCACGGCAACGGTTGATATCGGCATTGCTAGCACTTGCTTAGCCATCTTTGATAAAATCGGGAATGTTCTTTCATTTTCCTTCCACCACTTAAGAACGTCAAAGTCATCATCAACTTCATAATCAACATTCAATGTTAGATACAAAGAAAGCTCGTTAACTGAGCTTTGTTCAGTAGCGGGAGTTGCTCTACTTTTTTTCAAAAGAGAATCAAAAGCGGATTTTAAAAGTGATTTTCCTTTAGATGAAGAAGATGTTCGTTGCATGGAAGGGAGTGCATTACCATATTGTGCATGAAATTCATTATACAATTGATGAAATAAATTACTAACCTCATTGAATTCTTGTTTAGGGTCGATGGGATTATCATCAAACTCTTGGGTTGGAAAAAAAGAAGCATAATAGTAATCTATACAATTTGCCAAGTAAGCAAGTTTATAACGAGGATCAAGAACAAATGCAATACCATATATATGCGGAATATGTGAATAATATTTTAAAAACTTTTGTTTCATGAAATCACAAAAATAACTAACCTAAGTGGCTTCGGAAAATTCACAAAAAGCGCCGGCGAGATTAACAGCTTCAACAAAAAAAATCGTTTGCGGTAGGTTTATAAACATGACTAAAAGTTAGAGTTGCGTTATTAAAATATGCCAAAACATTAACAATTTTTTCACAAGTGTCGATGTCAGCCGGGTTTATAATATAGTTACAAGTTAGTCTTAAAAAAAGATGGAAAATGATCTTTATATCTAACAAGTACGTACTTGAATTAAATTATAAGTACTATTCCAACGAATAGACAAATCTTTAGGAAAATCACAATAATTCACACGTGTATCCTTCAAATATTGCCGCCATTGCATTTTTAGTGGAGTGCTAGCCCAAATCAATATAATTCCCCCCTTCCAGGGCCGGCCCTGGTGGTGTGCAGGGTGTCCAACCGCACAGGGCCCAAAAAATTGGAAGGGCCCAATTTTTTTTTTGTAGTAGTATACTACTACGGTACTACCTCCGTCCCACTATGATTGTCCCATTTTACCTTATCGGTTCGTCCCATTAAGATTGTCTCATACCAAATTTTGTAAAGTTTGTGTGGCTCTAAATCATTCTTACTTTATCTATTCAATATCAACCACATAAACCACTTTTTATTAATTTGTGCGTCACCTCCTCTTGTCCCAATGTTAGCGTGACGGAGGGAGTATTATTACTTAGGTGGACTAGGGCACGGCTTTGAAGCAAGTCTGGTTCGTCACTTCGTGTATTCCTCATCTGCAAAGGAGGAGCGTGTATATAGGAACGAAGGAGTAGTAAATCCTCCGTTTCCACCGGTGTGAGAATCTTAAGCTTTAGAAAGAAAAAAGAAAAGAAGCAAGGCATGCGGGATTTGAACTCAGGTGAAAATAAAAGCATGCACGCTGATTTCTAAACATCAACCACCGGACCAAATCAACTAATTGTTGAAATACGGACGTACGAGTTTTATATAACCTATTTGTTCTACAAAATAAATAATTAAAATATCTCTTAATAAAAATCGGTTCAGGTCGGTTAGAACCGATTTTATAACTCAAAAACTTTCATTAAACTGATTTGTGTTCGAGTCCCGACTTTCGGGTCCCGTTTGAGTCGGTGCGGTTTCGTTTAGGTTTTTTTAACTTGTGTTGAAACTTTGAAAAGAAGGCCCAATTATTATTTTTGCATAGGGCCTTCATTTTCTCAGGACCGACCCTGCCCCCTTCACTACCTCCAAAGCATTTCCTAATGCCGCTAAGCCATCTTGTACACACAAATTTAGAATATGACATGCACAACATTGATGAAAAAACCTACCCATCAATGTAGAAGCACCACACAATTCACGTAATCTAGGTATAGCAGCAGTATTATTACTAGCATTTTCAAAACCTACAGCAAACACCTTATCAATCAAATTATACTCAATTAAAATACGTTCAATGAGAATATAAATATTATCAGCAGTGTGACGATCATTGAATTCACGAAAAGCAAGAACACGTTTATGCATATTCCAATCATCATCAATATAATGTGCAGTAAGACCCAAATAATATAAATGATGATAAGTATCCTCCCATATATCGCTACAAATACTAACACGTCCATCAAAGTTTGAGAAAAATATTTGTAATTTTTCTTTTTCCAAGTTATATTGCCTTATAACATCTTTTTTAATCGTTTTGCGACTATAATTTCTAAATTGAGGATTTAAAGTACCTTGAGCATAATCTCTTAAAGCAAGACTTTCGGAAAAAATATAGGGTAAATTTTCTTCAACAATTAAATGAGACATACCAGTCAAATGTTTTTTATCATCATAGGAAAAATTATCAAAGGGTTGAGAATTTGCAAACCTCGATATTTGTGTTTGCTTCCCCTTGCCTTTTTCTATTTTCGCATACTCCACAAAGTGGGCGGACTGAAGATGCCTTTTGAGACACTCTTATCCGCCAGAAGTTCCCAAGCTAAACTCTTTCTTGCAATGATTGCAACTTGCGTACCATTTTTCGGTTTGTTCGTCTTTCCTTTTTGTATAATTGTTTTCAATAATAGGAGATTTAGATTTCTTACCAATTTGGGTTGTAGTCGTTGAACGGCCCTCGTCCTCCAACTCTTGCTCATCATCCGGAGTCCCGTCGTCCCCCGCGTCCTCCTCCGCATCGTCATCCTCGAGCTCCTCTTCATCGATGGTTGTCGGGAATTGTTGTTCTTGTGCAAAACGTGGATCATTTTGGGACAATAGGTGTTGTAGTTGCTCGTCGGACATCATCATATCATCTCGCCGTTGGTAATCCGTTTCAAAATCATCTCGACTTTGAAAAGAAGACTCGGCCCGCGCTTTACCTTTGCCTTTGCGTGAAGTAGACCGAGTCGATGCAATCTCCCTCTTGCGGTTGCGTTGGAGATTACCCACATCTACAGAATGTCTACCACGCTCCATCTTTAAAATTGAACAAATATTAGCAATTAACTAATATGAGAAATGTAAAAATGTAGCAATTAAGTAATATGATAAATGTAAAAATTAACTAGTTTTTTTTACTTTAATGAGAAATGTAGCAATTAACTAATGTGAGAAATGTAAAAATGTAGCAATTAAGTAATTAACTAATATGAGAAATGTAAAAATTAACTACTTTTTTTTACTTTAATGAGAAATGTAGCAATTAACTAAAATGAGAAATGTAAAAATGTAGCAATTAACTAATATGAGAAACGTAAAAATTAGCTACTTTTTTTTTACTTTAATGAGAAATGTAGCAATTAACTAATATGAGAAATGTAAAAATGTAGCAATTAAGTAATTAACTAATATGAGAAATGTAAAAATTAACTATTTTTTTTTACTTGAATGAGCAATGTAGCAATTAAGTAATATGAGAAATGTAAAAATTAACTACTTTAATGAGCAATGTAGCAATTAACTAATATGAGAAATGTAACAATTAAGTAGTTTAACTAATTGTTGGTCCAAAATAGGACGCTCGTAGGCTTTAGGAAAGCTACGTACGACACTCAAGCAAGAATTAGGAAAGTACGAATATGGAAAGTTAGCCAGAAATAGCATATCTGTATTTGAAATTCGAATTGCCTTTTATAGGCGATTACAAATGGTAACTGCCGAACATAATAATGACTAAATTAATTACAACATTATACAGAATTAAACACATAATTAAGTAGCGCATTGATTGTTGGCCGTTACTCTTCCTGGCTGGCAGGTCAGCCTGGCTGGCAGGCTGGACGCTTGAGCTCCCTCCTGCTGGACTGGACGGTGGGCTTCCCGCTAGGCTGGAGGAAGGCTTCTCACCGGGCTGGAGGCAGGCTCCCGGGTAGGCTGGAAGGCAGGCTCCCGGGTAGGCTGGAAGGCAGGCTCCCCGATGGGCTGGAGGCAGGCTCCCACCTGGGCTGGACCGCGGGCTCCCAGTTGGGCTGGATCGCAGGCTCCCAGCGGGCTGGTGGTCGGTAGGCTCCTGGCTAGGCTGGAAGGCAGGCTCCCCACTGGGCTGGAAGGCAGGCTCCCCACTGGGCTGGAAGATAGGCTCTCTGCTGGGCTGGAAGGCAGGCTCCCGGGTAGGCTGGAAGGCAGGCTCCCGGGTAGGCTGGAAGGCAGGCTGCTGACTGGGCTGGTAGGCAGGCTCCCTGCTGGGCTGGACGGCAGGCCGCCCTGGGCTTTCACTCTTTGATGGGCCTAACGGTTGGGTCGGAATGAGCTCTGGATCACTGGGCTTGGGCCTGCTGGTCCAAGTCCGGGGCCTGGGCCGATTAGGCTCTGGACCTAGTCCCATAACCCCATCACGAGTCCCCCACTCCCTTAGTCGAGTAGTAGACTCGGCTAAGAGGGAGTAGTTTAAGTCAGCTGCCGATTTAAAAATATTCACATATCAAGGAACCATAATTGTGGATTATATGAATCCCAGAGTTTATGGAAATTCCCAAATTAAATCAGGCTCCCAAAAAGGGCTCCATAAAAATTCCTTCAGCATCCTAGCACTCCAGTCGTCAGTTTTCTTTCGGACTTCAGAATCCAGGTCAGCTCCCAAAAATCCCTGAAATTCATTTTTATAACTTCATAAATTATTTTCGGACTTTATTTTATTTTTCCTTCCTTTTCTTTTCTTTCCTTTTCTTTTCTTTCCTTCTTTTTTCTTTCCTTCTCTTTTCTTTCCTTTCTTTTTCTTTTCTTTCCTTTCTTTTTCTTTCCTTTCTTTTTTTCTTTCCTTTCTTTTTTCCTTTCCTTTCTTCTCTTTCCTCTCTCTCCCACGATCTGCGTCCGTCTTCCTCGCATCGCCCCAGCGCTGCAGTCGGGAATCCAGCAGGCCGGCACCTCTTCTTCCAGATCGGCGGACGAATTCAGCAGCAAGGTGCGACCAGGCGCACCTCCAGGTCGGTCAGGACTCCGCGGTCAGCAGTTCGGTGGCCCACCTCCCAGGTTGGCGTCGGATTTTTTGGTTGGATGGCGGAGCTCGATGTCAGGCCGGCGGACACCCCGGCAGGAAACATATGTGAGCTGGTGAAAAAACCTCAGGTTGGCACCCCACAGCAGGTCGGCTCTAATTCGCCCGGTAGAATGTGAGGCTTTAGGTTGGTTGGGCCTCACCAGCTTGGACGAATCTCCCTCAAGGTTGGTGCCGCTACGGCAGAGCGTTGGAGCCTGATTTCGGGTTGGCAATCCCCAAGTTAAAAACCCAGCGTAGGCCGGATTGAGCTCCAACTTCCATTTTGAGGGACATCTTCTAATTTGAGGGAGGATGGAGCTTCAAGATTGGATCCCCCATTGAATTGAGGGACATCTTCTAATTTGAGGGAGTGCTTCAACTTCGTGTTTTGAGGAAGAGTAGATGTTTGCCACAAGTTGATACCTGTGGAGCCCTCAAGTCAGGCGGCAGGCGTCGTCCTTGGCGGTTGTCTTCCCCAACATCCTTTGCTTGTTGGTGCTCGGTCAGGCGGCCGGGCGTCCAGGCGGGCAGATGGCCAGGCGTTTGGGTACCCCGGGTCGGATGGCATCGTCTCCTTCTTGGAAGCCGCCGGCCAGGAGACTGGGTAGCTGCCAATATGTGTCTCCTTTTTTCTTTGGTCGGCGGGCCTGCCTTCAATGTTGGCCGGCGAAGTTTAGTGGAGTTGGCGGCCATATACCCCACTTCCGTCCGGCGGTGGGTGGAGTCTTCCTCCTTTAAGGCGGCCAGGCTGTTTGGACGGCTGCTGCCGCATGTCATTGTAACTGGCCGGTGTAGCCCCTCGGATTTGGCCATCAGGTCTGAACTCCCTCTTGGTCGGTGGAATTTCGAGGAGTTGAGCTAGGCGCCCAGCTTTCCCCATGAGCTCGAAGGTGGTTTGCCGCAGGCTGTCCGGCGCCCCACGCGAGCAGTTCCTCCTACCCTCAACTTCTCCTTGACTGGACAGTGTTGGTTAGGGACCGGCGGCCGTCGTTGTGCCGACAGTCGTCGCTCAGGCAACCGGTAGTTGTGCCACTGGGCAGCCAAGGCGGGTGCTCTCTTTGTTGGTGCACTCCATGTTGGCCTGAGCTTTGTCGATTTCTTATTTCTCTTTTTTTTTTGTCTTTGCAGGTTTCCAAGAGTTTTGATTGTGTCTGGGCAAAGCTCTCTCATGAGTCTGAAAAGGTGAAGGACGCTCAGACAGGCAGCGAGACAATTTCATGCCTCGGCTAGGTCTTCCCAAGTGCTTAAAGAATCATTATGGTGAGAACAACCATGGAGGGGATGGCACTAGAGTCTGGATTCCAAGAGACCTCTTTGAGGTTCCTAGCCGTTCCCGTGATTAGACCATTGGACATGATGGTGCTGGGTCCGCTTAGCTACGACCTTGTATTTTGTATTTCCTTTGTTTCCCGCTTGAATATTCTGTGTTTCGAATGGATGTTTGATTTTTATTTCATACGCCTCCTTTTCTATACTTTGCATTACGAATACATAGCAATTTATTCGGGGATCTGGCTTCTCTAACCTCCCGGGGGCGGTTAGGCTGGCGTGGCCGAGCCTATCCGTGCCCCTCCTAGTTGGGTAGAAGTGGTCTGTTCGCTATTGATATGGAATCAACAAGTAAGCGACTTGTTTGGCCAGCAAGGTCGGACATTGAACCGATGAGGAAGACCCTTAGGTCGGTATCCTGAACGTTCATGACCTGGGGGTCAGTCCTACTGTCACTTTAACCCGTCCAGTTTGCCCGGACTTGGGGAATAATCTGGTTACTCCCGCATGGATAGCCAAACAACAGGGGCGGACCCTGCATGATCCACCAGAACGAACCCGCACCGCCAACTCAGGGATGACGAGAGTGCGAGCTGCTTGGCCAGCGATGTTAGGCGGCGAGCACTCAAAAGGACCCGGAGGTCAGCATCCTGAGTACCCTCGACCCGGAGGCCGGCCCTACCGTCGCCTCGACTGTCGCGGCTAGCTCTTTACTTTAGAAAATTGCCCAGATTCTTGAAAATCGCTTGGCTATTTTCGGTTAAAGAGCCTAGCCGAGGTCGGCCAAACACCGAGGGGGGGCATAGTACCTTTTTTTTTTTTTGCCGCCGCCGCCCTTTATTGCTAAGTGAGGTCGGACCTCTTTTGATGACAAAATATCGCTAGCAAAGTATATTGAATTCATGATGTGGGCGGACCACATGAAGAATTACAAATTGTAATCCCGTGCTCGGAGCACAGGAGTTTACAAAGAAAAGTGAAACTTCGATTTTCTACTGGTAAAACTTCATCAGGTGCTCGGCATTCCAGACGCGGTCTACCAACCGGCCTGTTGTTGTCTTCAACTTGTATGTCCCAGGGCCGACCACTGCGTCAACCACGTAAGGGCCTTCCCACTTGACGGAGAGCTTTCCTCCCTCTGTCGGCCTGCTGGCCTTCCTACGTCTTAGGACATAATCACCGACGTTGAAACTCCGGGCTCGGGCTCGGCTATCTTGGTACGCCTTGACTTGTCGTCGATAGTTTTCCGCTTTGATGAAGGCACGGTCTCTTCTTTCCTCAATGAGGTGGAGCTCGGCTCGGAGCCTCTCCTCATTGCTGGCTGGTTCGAACTCTTCTACTCGCCGGCTGGGAACCACGGCCTCGAATGGTGCCCTCGCCTCAAAGCCATAACACAAGGCAAAGGGGGTCTCTCCTGTTGCCTTCCTTGGGGTTGTCCTGAAGGTCCAGAGTATATTGTTCAACTCCTCCACCCAGGCAGTCCCGAGGGCCTCCAACTTCTTTTGCAGTCCATCAACGATCATCCGGTTGGTGTTCTCCACCTGTCCATTTGCCTGGGGGTAGCAGACCGAAACTCGGTTGGACTCTACTCCCCACTCTGCACAGAATTGCCGGAAGGCTTCGCAGTCAAACTGCCTTCCGTTGTCGGAGATTATTTGGAGGGGAACCCCAAACCGGCAGAAAATATTCTTCCATATGAACTTCTTACATTGGAGATGTGTGATGCTGGCAAGCGGCTCGGCCTCAACCCACTTCGTAAAGTAGTCCACCGCGACGATGACAAACTTCCGGTTTCCCGACCCGGTTGGTAAGGGACCGACCAGGTCGACACCCCATCTTGTGAATGGAAGGGCAGTGCTGATCGGTGTGTACATCGTTGCTGGTCGGCCGGGGCTCTTCTGGAACTTCTGGCATGTCTTGCATCTCCTTGCATAGTCAGCGCAATCCTTCATTATTGTTGGCCAAAAGTACCCCTGGAGGACGACCTTCCTAGATAACGTGCCTGCCCCCTGATGGGCGGAGCATACGCCCCCATGGAGTTCAGAGACGATCATTTCCGCCTCATGTGGGCGTAAACACTTTAGCAAGGTCCCATTGTAGGACCTCTTGTACAACTTCCCATCCAAGACGACGTAGCCCGGAGCTCGTCGCCGGACTAACCTTACCTCCTCTTCTTTCTCGAGGAGCGTCCCATCGGCTATGTAGCGCAGGAGGTCATCCACCCAACACCAGGCGACTGGTTGCAGGGGAAGGACGTCAATGGACGGTGAGGCTGATATGCTTGAGGTCTTCATCTCCTCAATGCGTGCAATTCTCGATATATGTTCAGGTAACCCTTGGGATAGCTTTGAGAGGAGGTCTGCATCGGAGTTTTGATTTCTCAGGATGCAGATCAACTCTGCTTGTTTGAACAACCCGAGCAACTCCCGAACAACATCTCGATACTTCATCATTCTTTCTTCCTTCGCTTCGAACTCACCTTTGACCTGTGAAACCACCAGACGGGAGTCACATTTCACCGTTATCCACTCTGCTCCCATGGTGGCCGCCAATCGTAGCCCAGATAGTAGGGCCTCGTACTGTAACACCCCGATTTTTTGAGCTAGTTATATTAATCAATATTAATATTTATTTTAGTCAATTAAATAAGTTTCTTCTATGACTAATGTGATTTATTGTTTGATCACGTGTTGTTCTGGCAGGTAACGTTGACCGGTAAAGCTCTAATAATATTAAGTGAAGAAATAAGTAATGTTTTAAAGCTTAATCAGTTTATATTGAAATAGAAAATACTTTAATGTTGGATTTTTTTTAGAGAATATTAGGAGCCCAAATCAATCTTAGCCCAAATAAGTCTCCTTTAAACTAAATCCCTAAGGATATATATATCATCGTAGAAACCCTTAGCTCTAAAGAGCCGTCCATTCTTCTTCCCCTAGCCTCCCGACAATCTTCTCTTCTTTGAACCTTCGGACGAAGCATCCAGCACTACCATTTGCTTTCATCTTAAAACTGGTAAGTCTAAATTGTTCACGCCTCTAATTTTGATTCTTCCTAAAAAGATTTTGAATTGTTAGAACTTCACTACGTATTAGTTGCCTAGGATTAGGGAGAGATTTGAAATTTAACCCAAGTTTTTCTTACATTAAACTTCTAGTTGAGGAGTTCTTGTCAGATTGATCACAATGGTTTTAAATTTTATCCCAAGCCATCGGTTTTACAGGAGAGAAGTATTAGGCTACACTTTTTCGTAAATTGCTTGATGCTTTGTTTAAAAACAAATCTGGATAATTTAGTTACTCAATTTTCTACCATGTGTAAGGGTCATATTTTTGTTAAGGTCTGATTTTGAAGTTATGTTGAGAGTTTAATTTTCCCTGCGCTAGAATTTATATAGTGAAAAATGATTTTACCCTTCTCATTAAAGTGCATTTTCATACCAACGTAATTGAAATTATCGATAGCAGACTAAATGACTAATGGAGCAAAAGTCGATTTCATTCTCTTCATTGTTTTCCTAATTCAGAAAATTAATTTACGTTTAATCAAAAATA